AAAAAAGGCTCTTTTGACTAAAAGAAATTTTGATGACGCACTCGTCTTAACTTCCATACACTCAAACTCGGAAGATTCGCCCCACGGCCCGTCCAAGTACAGGAAGGTGGCGGCAGCGGCGGTTTTCCTTGCCACGGCGGAGGTGCTTCTGGCAAACCGGACAAGTAACTGACACAATGGAAAAGATGACTGCGGGCTTTCCATGGTCTTTGATCCGGTGTGGGAATTTTACGAGATCGCAAGGCAGGCGGTGGGTTAGTGTCATGGTGAGGTGAGGCGATTCCGTATTTTCCAAGCAGCCAGTGAAACGGCATCCTGGGACATTAAAGAGCGACCAATCTACTGAATCCCGCTTGAAAGGCTTTGGTGAGGCTGTGGTCTTTCAACGAACCGAGGGCACATAGAACAATGAGACAATCAATGGTGGTGGTGTCCCCTTTGGCTGCAAAAGTGAAATCCTATTGTTGGAAAAGAGGCTGAACTAAGGGGAGGGGGGCATGATGACCCTTCCACCCATCCATCCTTAGGTTTCATAAAATGTGGATCAAGTCGAACGAGTTGAATGTAACGGTGAGTTGGATTATTTGGTTTTAGTCCAAATTTCCCTTCCGTCTGACTGTAGGTTGCGAGCCAGTGCCAAGATGACGAATGACCTGGTGTAACCTGTCACTGGGCTGATGGAAGTGAGTCAGGCAGCAATCCGCGTTGTGTTTGCCTCAACTATCTTCTTCCATTAAATAGAGGGGAGAGAATAATCATCTCCGGTGTAGATATACCCCCTGTGACAAGCCAATGCACTGAGCTGTCAATCCTGACTGTGCGCCCGATTTAGGCCGTGCCACTTGACGTGACAAGACAACTGTTCCAAATTTCCATTTTATAAATAAAAGGCAATTTATGGCAATGACTGTGTGGGGTAATCTGATGCCTTAGTAGAAAAGGATAGGGGAAGGGGAAAATTTCCACCTCCAGACTCTTGAATGGAGAATAGGTGGCTGGTGGAGAAGGTGGAGGAAAGCATCTTTTGCTATCACGTAAAAAGGGGAGAGAAATAGGGCGCTCAAAGTACTAAAGGTTTTCAAAGACCTTGGTTTCCTCTACCCTTCTTGGAAAATGATGATCTCTCTATCCACTACCGCCTGTTAGCAACGACTTGTGAAATAACATGATTTAAGTAGTATATAGTGCAAGAAGTAATGTTAAGGTAGGTAAGTGAAAAATTCCCTTTTTGTCAATTTTTTTATAAGATACAAATGAGATGCAGAGCATTGCCTGACCTTCGGAACAAGTACCCAACAGAAGACGAAGGAGAGGAAAAAGATGTCCCACTGATACTACTGAAAAGTACAAATGCATCATCCCATCATCAAGGCTTTTCCAATCCCCGAGGGTGGGTTCAATGAATTCACCGATTACAGTGTCATCATTCAGGGGCATGGATCAGTGTGTGTGGGTGCCAACGAGGCGAAGTGTGTTAAGGCCATGAGCCTCAGAGGGAATCCGCTACATTGGCATTTACCCACCATCACGCTGAATGTTTGTGGGATCCTCTTAGCTCCTTCTCCTCCTCCCCCTCCTTCTGTACTTTTGCAGTAATTACGCACTATTTATAGACGCCTTACACTTTCTACCATCCCATGCAACAACTCTGAGCTTACTTGTTGACGAGTTGTCAACAATCAAACACTTTGACTATCCGCCCTTAGCCTCCAAGGGGTAGACTTGGGCATAACTACCGACGAATTAGTGATAGTGACTTCCACCGCCTTTTTGATGAATGACATTTAAGTTGGGGCAAGGAGATGGAAGTGGGAGGAGGGTGGTAGACGAATCATTCTACACACATACACACACACAGGCCTTGGAAGATGGAAGGTGTCTCCCTAGAGGCCGCTTCTTCAGTTCTCTGAATCCACTTCTGGATCATCAGATGGCCAGTTTGTGGAAACCCCTTAAAGGCAATCGCCTTCCACAATTAATCACCCTTTCCCCAGCTAGTAACAGAGCAACAACAAAATTCCAAGTTTATGTTACCTCCTTTTTGCCCCTAGAAGCAGACTACGGAAGTACCTCCATTTCTACCACACGCGGGCTTGTCTGATGGCAGGATCATGGGGAATGTGCCTTCAGGAACCATGAGGGGAGATACGTGGGATGAGAAGGATGCCGAATTGTGCTTCACCACGCCCTTCTAAGAGTAGAAATATTCTCGTCGCTATAGGCTCGTTAGACATGATAGGGTGGTGTCTTTAACACTCACGCTTACCTGTCACGACCATTTGATTAGTGTCAGCAACGACTTCGACTATTGACAGGGCGATGAAGTCGCATTTCTTCATCACGGATCCGGACTCACCTTTAATGGCAACGTGTAAGTACTTATTCCATATAAGGACAAAGAACCTTCTTCCAAAATAATTGCTGGGCAGAACTCTATGCCACCAAGCCTCCTCCACAAGTTGAGCATTTGGCAGCCTTTAGACATCTTGGTAGACACTGTGGAATTGCATCACCTTCAACCGGCAGTGTGTAGATGCATCGTGCTGCCTAGAAGATCGTCTATTCGAGCTTGAAATGAGGAGTCACTCCGTTGGATTAGAAAACTGGGCCGCGGTCAGTTTCATTGCGCAAATGGCCTGAATGCTATCGATCGCCAAGTCCGATAATCAATCGACATGTATTCAGGACGGATGACTTAATTATCGATCAACATTGCATGAGTCAGCCACTGCGCGTGGGCACAAGCCTAGTGGCTAGTCCGTGAGGCCTATCCTAGTTGGAGCTGCTCGATCGCCCTGGTCATGCGTCTACATCTCGCAGATACTTAGCCTTGACCTCACATACACCCTCTTTCTCTCTCTCCGTGATCTCAACTGATCAGACAGCGGGTAAGGCGGAGTGCGGTTATCAAAATAAACAGGAATTAGTTAAAGATTGAACAAGAGGGATTGTTGAAGGCGATTTTCAGCGCAGCGTTCCAAGGTGTCAAGGTAAGTTAACAAGTAAATTTACTGAGAAAGACCTCGCCCAGTAGTAAATTCAGTTTTTTAAATGTTAGATGGAATGTAAATTCCCTTCGCATTGTTGAATTAACTGATTAACATTGATCAGATCCTTAGCCACAAATTAAGAGGTAAATTCGAGCGCAATTTCAGATGCGTCTGCAGTAATAGAAGATTTTCCTTCTTCTTCTACCTAAAATTAACTCTGTTGGTGGTTAGCAAGAAAGCAAGTTGTTGAGTTTTTAGACCAACTCTTCTGCGCTATTCAAGTAGTCGTTTCCAAAGATCCAAAATATTATTCCTTCTTTTTGAGTAGAAGTTCTCGACATTTATTGCAGCCTTTGGTCTGGAAAATTGATGGTAGATTCATGCAAGAATTTTATAGTCCCCCTTCTCCCTCGGTTGGGGACTTCCACCTACATTCGATTGACATTCCATCTAAAAGCCTCTTTGGAGATGTATCAACATTTGAGGGATGGGAAGATAAACTGGTGTGGAACCTACTTTTCTCAACTCCTGCCAGAGCATCTGAAGTCATAAAATGGAGTAACGACCAATTTGGAGGTGGTGGTGTTCTCCTCACATAATTAAGCCTTCTACATCTATTTGGAAGGCGAGGGCCTGATCTGCGCCAAAACCACTTCAAAACCCGTATTTTGGGAAGATTTTTTTATGTCCGGGGATGAATGGGTAGACACGGGACTGATGGACAGACGAATGGATGGTTGCGTGGGTTGACAGATGAGCAGATTGACGGACGGACGAATGAATAGTTATCTATCTAACACCCTCATCCATCTTTGCATCATATCATTGGACTCTGAACTTGCTAAATGGTGCATTAGCAAGTCTACTTCCCCCCAAATTCAGTTTCAATTTCTTGAACAATATGCTTTAGAGGGAGGAAATTGAAGTCATCACGAGAGGCGAAGCCAAGTTTTCAGAGTGCCTAATATCATTTACTTCCTAGCTTCCCATGAAAGCCTTCATCGCATTGTATTGGCAGCATCCTTATTCTACTCCTTGACAGGAATGCCTTCTTATCTATATCGGTTGAGTCATCGCTTTTCCAGAGTCGGCAGCCTCAGCGATGTTGAGGGCAATGCCTTCATGCCAGGAAATATTCATTCCTCATGATCAGTGATGATGAAGCGGGTTGACAGGTCTCATTTACATCCTTGACCGTGAGTGCTCCCTCTCGTCCAGTCGTGTTGCCTGGGAAAATCGCACTTCCCAGGTGGCCAAGACCGCTATCCGTAGCGGACGCGGAGGCAAGTGCTACTTCACCACATTTCCGAGTATGTCACCTCTCTGTAAAACTAAAGCAAGAGAATGTCAATCTTGACTTTTTTTACCTAGTTAAGTTAGCACATAGTACTTATTTCCATAAGTAGACACCTAGTAAATTTATCTTGGGGGACGTTTTATCTTGAGAAACAGATTATAGGTCTTCGTAAAACCACCTGATTAGCCTCCCTCTTTGGCGATGTTGAAGTTGCGACGTCTACGCGGAGCAAAGTTTCTCCATGACCCCTCACTCACCACCTCGGCATCGGCCTGCTACCCTAGCTCCCTTCCAACTGCTGAAAATACCACAAAAGTTAAAGAACTATCCGATCCCCTGTTTAAACTTGCAGGCACCAGCGGAATGCACATGTCTGTGCTAGGGTGGGCATTGGGAATTGCTGATGGACACGTGTCGACCTATTAGTAGTTCTGACTCCTCATCGAGTTCTTCCCCATCTCCCTCCCACACCACACATTATTGACTGAAGTTGATGCAATTCCAGCTTGTTAACTAGGAGAATTTAAAGTAGCCTTCGAAACCGTTGGACGTTCCACTCATCCATTCGTCCATCCAAGATCCATTCAAAAAGGTTCCAGCCATTTACTCGGACATCTATCTCGTAGTTATCCATCAGTCCAAAAAGTCTCTTCGTCCTTGCATGCGCTTGCACCCACGTTAACTGTCCAAGTCGTATATCTGACCGTGGGTTCCATCACTATCAGTCATCTCTCTCCCTCCCTGAGCAATTATACCTAGACCTAATCGTAAATGTGTAGTGTTAAAACTTCTAGAAGTATCTGGCCGAAAGTAAAACCTTCAGTTTCTTGACACTTAGTTGCCTCCCACGGAAAAATAGGCTTTATTCGGACCACCAGTCATGATCATTGACTTTCTCGTACTGCTTTCAGATTGAAATCTCTGCCACATTTAGACCCACAAAAATGCGAAGGCTTGAAGATGAACATTTGTGCTTCCAGACAGCAAACAGCCCGACCCTATCAATTCTGCACCATTAATTTTAGCAATTTTTCCTCCAAATCACAAATGCCTTTGGGGATAATTTTGTCCGAATTCGAACATTTTGACCTCTTAGAAGGCAAATTTATTTATTCATTCTTCACCGCCTTCGCGGCAATTAATCTTAGCATTGCTACCCTCGCCCAAGTGTCTCTTTTTGAATGATTTCCTAACCGAAACCGAGCCCCTTTTATATCAGGCCTTACCACAGCGAAAGAGAGGACATGTAAATATGTGATCGGCATCGGGGCTTGCGAGGATATGAAGGTAGTGCCACGTTTGGACACGCCGAGATCCAAACCCGGGGATCACCTAATTGCCCGCTCGCCACGTGCTGAAGCAGCACGAGCCAATGAGATGGCAGCAGGGCGTTGATTGGCTGATTGCCAAGCCTCATTCCACACTCCGTCTGGTTGATGCCCACAGAATTCACTATTCGGTTAATTGAAAAAGCAAACAACGTGGTCTCCCTCCCTCCGTTCCTTACTGTTGTCCCCCTCGTTCTTCTAGGATTCAACTCCTCAAGGAATTACATGTGTCGGGGCCTGTTTTTTAACTCGGTGAGTCTAACCTTCCCCGCCCTCCCGCTTGCCCTTCGTCTTTTAATTATGCATTCCTGTTTCATTTTTTGGCATTTCCTGATCCCTTTTTTAATAAAACTGTAAAACTTTGAGAAAATTGCACAATTTTACAGTAAGCCAAACGATTAGCGGTAGTGGAGGAGGGGAAGGCGACTTCCTCTCTATTTCCCTTCAGAAGGCAATTTTTATTCTCCCATCTGTTCCCCTATCATAGGTGTTTAATCCATGCAGATATTTTAGAGACCATATTTCTTATTGAATACCATAACTGGCGGGTGATTTGTCTTTTTCACAACGAAGCTGACTCACCTCATGCATAAAAGGGTGTTTTATTGGTGATCCCCTTATTGTAACTACGTTTTCTACGCATTTTAACGACAGTTGGTACTTTGTTATTACTTTATCCTTCTACTTTGGTGGTGATTATAGTGCCAAGGGGCAAAACACAGCCCAACTCTGTTGACTGGGGAGAGAGGAGGGGGGATTATGGGGAAGATGCGTTTACACATGGCGTCCTAGTGTACTTTTGGATACTAAAAGACGGAACTTGATGCATTCAGCAAGGCTACTTCAAAGGGCCACACATCAGGTCTTACGCCAGCATTCCACTTTCTTGTTGTTGTCTCCGAGAGCCTATACCTTAAGATGGGCATTTCTTTCAGCGGTGTCCGTAGCCAATGGGTTGGTTCGGCGATCAGGCATGAACGGGACAGCGTTTTAAAGCCACCTTGACTTCAGAACGTTTCATTTCCGCTTCGCAAAGTCCAATATGATCAAGGCAAACATTGGCTGTGCACAAATGGCCTTTTTTGGTTTACGTAGCAAGTCTACACTCTAGTCCTTAGCGGATGTACGAGGTTATGCCTGCTAAACCCTCCAGGCAGGAGTTGAGAGGCACATGCTTGCTTCATGATAGTAAATAAATAATTTTTAAGACGAATGGTTAGACTTCGCAGATGGAATGTAGGGCTGTCATGGAGGTCTCAGCTCTGATGAGTGATAGGCCATAGAAGGGCTTTTTTTCTTCTTAAAATATTTTTTACAAATAAATTCTACACATTTGGGCAAAGGCAGCAAAGAAGGTGAAGTGATTGCTACTGGAGCCAAAATTTATTCACATAGAGTAAATCATTCCCTCTTTAGTGGCTTTTGAAACATTTGAGGAATTTCTTGACAGAGGCATTTGTCAAAATGACATTTGTAGCATGGGACTGGGCAAAAATGGAGCGAAATTCCCAAATTTAACCAGTACCTCCCCACCCCCGACCCACTCACCCTTTCCCGTGATCCGTTCCACTCGCCCCCTACCCCCACTACCCGCCTCTAAACAGCGATGTAAAGCATAAGGGAAGAGGATGAAGTAGAGTTTAACAATGCGTAGTTTTAGAAGTTGATTTAACCGTTTTCTGACTCTACCAACCTAATAAAAACATTTTGTAGGGTGTAGGTGAAGCTGGTCGCCTGAGATTAGTCGCTTTTGAATAGCTACTTTGTGCCGACTTTTTTGGAATTAGTCAGGCCGGAACTTCACGGGGATTTATGCTGTGCTGCAGTGAGACAAAGGGATAAAGTAATTTCATGGCAGCAAAAGTGGACAACAACGGATCTAGGCTCCCTGCTCTTACTCACCCCAATTTTCAAAGGGAGTAAACGTTTTTACTGGTGGTAGAGTCCAATTTCATGTTAGAGTAGGAATATTTTTAAGAGCCTTCGCATCACCCTCCAGTATCAAGCTGAGTGACCAAAAAGGGGGAAGATTAACGGCAAAGCGGGAAAAAGTTCTCGTAGTCTGGAGTTCTGGCCTCTCAGCCCCCTCCTTCACTATCTTCCACAGAAAAAAAAGAACACCTTGATCCCTCAACCATCTTTTATAGGTGCAGTTTATAGCATTTTTTTCTAAAAACCATCTATTTATTTCCAAAACTGGATTTTCAAATAATTAGTACTGAACAATTCTCAAGTGCAGTTATTCGCTTTTCAACTTCCCAGGTGAAAAATGCGCTAAATATGCGTCGTAACTTAAACAAAACTTCTCATCTATAAGTCTGCAGTACTTGTAACCTTCAAAGGGCTAAATGTTTCCTTTCTATTGCCCAAAATTATGAAAATTTTTTTAAGTACCCTATTTCCTCCTCGACTCAAAATTTGCTGAATTAGTGATCCGCCATTCAAACAATTTTTTTATTAGCTCGCATAAAATTTCACTTATTGTGTAATAATAAATAAGTTCTAATCATTCCCTGTACTTTTCGATAAAAACACTCAAAGGTGTATCTCTAAAGTTGAAAAATGTCATTCCATTTTTCTCTTGGGCTTTCCCTTTCCTCTTCAAGGAAGACAGCGACGGCCTTGACGTTTTGTAAATATGAAGAACCAACTGCTTTGGTACTCCTCACCGTCTTCTATACATTCTCATTGACTTACCCACATATTTTGGTGGAAAAGAGACCTTTAGTTTTGATGTATTTCGGTATTGGCTCTTCCTCCCCTCCTCTACCTCTTCTTTCACCTTCTGTGTATCACGGTCACGCCTCGTGACATAAACGAAGGGAAAAACAATTAATCGGCGGAGCGTTGCGGCCCCATTTGTCGAACGCCAGCATCAACAGTTAGGTGGAGGGGGATGACTTTCCCTTTGTGTGGGAGTGGGTGTGCCACCAAATTGAAGAGGCTGCTATGACACGCGGTGACGTTGGACAAATTTGAGTTTGGCGAGAGAGCGATTTTTTTCTGCGGCGTTTGCTGGAGGCAAATCTTTCGCCTCAAGATGACACACACGCTTGCATTTGGGAAGACAGAAGAGGCGAGCTGAACCACGCTAACCGTTGTGGGGCTACCTGAGCGGGTAGATCGGTAATCCCCTGGGAAGGCAATGTAACACTCTCATAAAATTAATTTAAGGCAAGCAGATCTAATGCTTTCTTGACACTCTCGGAGTGGCTCTCCTTCTTCCTCTTCGCTGTTCCTATCACAAATCCCCCTATTGATGTCGAGGCGTGGGGCCATCTTTTCCTCCACAATTCTTTTTTAGCCCAAACAACTCCACCTCGAGTGGAGAATTAATCCCTCGTGATCACTGAAGCCATCCGAATCGGCACATCTGTCCAAAAATTAAAGACCGCTTGAAGTGGGGTAACAAAACGAATACAGGGACCACCTGGGTTGGGCAAAAAGCGTCAAGCCTGGACCACAACGAAACGTCACTCCCAGCTCTCTCCCCTTAACTTTGCGACTTTGAGTTTTGAGGGCTTTTCACGCTTTTCCTGACAGCAAATTCGGTGCAGTGTCAAAGGGTTCAGCCATGCCAAGGACAGGATGAGACAGACGAGTCTAGAGGAGGGCTGGAGAAGATCCGTAACAGATTTTCCACCTCTAAAGGGGTCCAGAATCGTTTAAACGCTCCCTTAGAAAACTTTTCTCTGTCACTAAGAAGGCAAAGTCAAGTAAATCACACTGCTGGTAAAAGCCCCTTTTATCGAGTGCTTTTTTGCAGGCAAGTGACATGTCATGTCCCGTTTGTCGTGTTTGACAAGATCTTTTAACTAGACAAACTGCGAGATGTGGCGGGGGAGGGGGCGGTTGGACAAATTTGCTGCTCAGTTGAAATGAACCCTTAGAGATTATTTTAGCCCCCAGTTATCATCTTTATGTATAAGGCTCCTGCAAGGCACCAAGGGAAGAGAAACCACCATGCGCCTTTGAAAAGTCAGGAAGATGCTACCGTGCGTAGCCCGTCAAGGTAGCAGTCCCCTCCCCCGCAAGTATTTTAGAGCCCTCATGTATAGCCTTCCTCCACCTCTCTAAAGAAAACCTTCATTTTAAGTGAATGATTAAACTAGGGGAAATATATAGCATTTCAGACAAACACTGAACGACCCCCAAGGGAGGCGGAGGAAGGGGAGAGCAGAAGGGGGCGGGGAAGTAAGGAAGACAGCCCCTTTTCCGTTTTTACAATCCCCCCACCCCAAGTGGCATTTGGCGCTAATTTAATTCGAGACAAAAAGTTGCTGATGTTTATTGCAGACTCCGAAAACCCGCTAAATTTACGAAAACGCGCCAATTAACACCAATTCCGTCACCTTCCGCATTTGGGTTTTTAATTCGTAAATGGAAAACGCACATGGCACTGAAAAAAATGCAATTTAAGTAATACGCGATTTTCTATCTCTACATCCAAAAATACATTGCAGTTAGTTTTTTAAGCATAATTTTTAGTTTTGTGCGAATTACTTTTAAACCGAACAGATTTTTACTCTGGAAAAAGTGTGGAAGAAAAAGATTTTTCAATTTTCCACAGCCTGTTAGCGTTTGGGTCACCGTTTGGACGATATGTTACACATGGTTCAGTACTTTGTGGTAATCGTGCACATAAGGCGATTTAAAAAAGCCTTGGACGCTTTACGCTCCTGTTCCAGTCAGCAATGAAGGTGGTTGTGCTTTGAATCCCGCCCCACGGCGGAACAAATTGAGTGGGACTCCTGCCTTTCCTGTTCAACATGTCACGTGGTCACCAGAATGCCTCTTCTTAATGACAAGTCGGAGGAGGTGGTGGCAAGTGTTGATTCATTTCTTATAAATCCGGCTTTTAAGCTTGACGAAAATACTCTCCTCTTTGTCACCGAAATTTGCCTTCAAGGTTGGTCCCGTAGTTTTGCATTTGTGCCTTCGGAGCTTTAGCGCTAAGTAGGTGAAACACTTGCATATTGCAAATTTAAGATGAGAATGTGTGCTTGTTTGGACTTTTAATTGTGCTGACAAGAAGAGAAGCAATAAGTCTGACATGTACAGGACTGT